AAAAGATTGAATCTGAGTAGCACGACGTTCATTTTTCTTCGTCTATCTATAGCAAGCCTCACGTGTCCTTAAAGCACTTCTAACAGCCTCGGTCACAAATTTAACTGTGCCTTTTTTCAAAGTAAGTTCCGTATACCCCTCTCCAACGCCTTACTGGCTACACTGGTTAATTAATCAATTAATTGGCTACATTGATTAATAGATTAGTATATGGTGCATCTAAAGACGGGTTCAATAATATACTGGAGGAAACAAATAAGGAAACAACACTTCATGTTAGTGTTCCTTTATTTATTCTCATAATTCCTCCAACAGTGGTATTCAAAGCTGGTGATGAAAACTGGAACATGTTAATGAACACTTGAATTCCCCTGTGTTCCTCTATTTGTTTCTCTTAGTATATGTACTGTTGTCGTTGTGAAGTCAATCAGTGAGTAAAAATGATTTCTTTACCTACAATTGAGTCGTGTTTTTACAATCAATGTTTACAGCTACAAACAGATTTCACTTTATTGATCATTAGTTCTACGTGTTCATCTGTACTGAAGAGGAGGTTCCACACAAAGAAATTGTCGGGAACCTGAACCAATTCACACCAGACTTCTGGAACAATATTTACCGACTGTATTTAAACAACCGGGGATACGGAAATGGTTCTGTTTTCCGAAGCCTTGTCCCATGTAAAGGTGGTGTAAAGGAGGCTACTTTACCAAAATCCCAAACCCAAAAATGTTGTCATTTTTACTATTAAAATATTGCCTTTTGAAAGACGTAGTGCTAACTATAAGTCCTATGAATTCAAACACACATGATATCATCACAAGAAAACAGAAAGTATAATATTTGTTAATTCTTTGATACATCCCTTTATATTTCCACAGCATCTTACAACAAATATCCGACCGCCTCCGTGGTGTAGTGGTTAGAGCGTCCGCCCGGAGAGCGGAAGGTCGCAGGTTCGATTCCCGACCGCGTCAAACCTAAATACTTTAAAATATGGTACTTGTTAGTCCCTGCCTGGCGCTTGGCATTAATGGGTACAACAAGGACTGGTCGGCTCGGAGTCAGTATAATGTGTCTGAGTAGGGTATTCATGCTTCACTGCGGCATGGTATCTCAGTGGGCTAGCACTATAAAACCAGCTTAAGTCTGGGCTAGTACAAGCAACCGCACATACACATACACACGCATGCACCTTGTCACATGAGCGAAATATACTCAAGCACGACGTTAAACCCAATTTCACCTCACCTTACAACAAATATCCGTGACATCGATGTTGAGCCTTTTTGAGATGTTTTGCAGTCTACAGTTTACATGCGATACAGACAACAGATTCAAACATGTCAAACACTAACTCTAACGTCAACATCTACATCTAATGTACAACAAATGATGTCAGAAACACTCGAATGTTAATACTGTTGATCACTGGATTGTCTGGTCCAGACTCGATTATTTACAGACCGACACCAAAATAGCTGGAATATTGCTGAGTGCGGCGTTAAACAACAAACCAGCCAACCAAGCGGAAAGAAAAGTCACAAGTTTTACAAGGCAAGCTGTAATCATTAATGGGTTTTTTGACGAATCCATATTCATCATATGTATATCTTTAATAAAGGTAAATTAAAGAAACATTCTTTAGAAATATATGAACAATATACATCTGAAATACACAAGACACATCGCGGCTTTAAACAACCAACCAAACAAACATGATCAAAATCTACGAAAAATATGGCAATCCATGGGTTGTGTTATCTACCTCCAAGAACTGGAGATATATAGCCCTCTTTGATACTGTGCTTTTGGGGTTAATTAATTACTATGCTTGTTAGCTGAATCTGTCCAGTTCTCGTCACGATATGGCTATTGCCGATATGACGTGAGTTGTTAAGGAACTGAACTTCATCCACCGTGTTCATCGTTCGCGAACACGTGATGGGTTTGACGTCGTCATTTAACGCTTGTAAAAATATGTGTCCTCAGCATACATTGTCAATATGTTTACATCACCTTAGTTATCAACAATACATACCATTGTTGAAACAGAACACAAGGTCATTTCTTAACAGCATCACAAAATCTATCAACTGACTTGAAAGGTGTGGTTCGGCTAATATTGACATATGTTTCGCGCAGTAGTGTAAATACTTGGCATGAATGTATTCGATTGAATTTCGCAAAAGCGAGTATTAATCAAAATAGTTGTGTATATATTTTTTCTTACAGGGACGTTGAGCTCTAAGCTCTGCAACCATAAAACACTGTACAAGTTTTTTTAACATACATTGGATACAGTTAATTTTGTGATCTACATCGTTTAATTAGAAATATAGCTTTGTTGAAAAGAGAAGTCAAAACTTGCTGTGACTTTAAGCTTTGGGCCAATCAAATCGATGGTACCACATATGTCAACATCGACACTTACAATAAGTGAAGCGAAGGACTACCATTTGTGTGCACTACTGAGTTGTACGGCTCTGTAAGACATTGTGAAACAAGCGTGAATATTTTTCAATGCTGTATTGAAGGCCCAGCATACATTTATTTGTGTATTAATGTCAATATTTGAGATTTATATTGTTCATATATTTCTAAAGAATGTAAATTTAGTTTACTTTTATTAAATGTATACATATAATGAATTATGGATTCGTAAAAAAACCATTACTGATTACGGCTTGCCTTGTAAAACTTGTGACTTCTCTTTCTGCTTGGTTGGCTGGTTTGTTGCTTAACGCTGCACTCAGCAATATTCCAGCTTGATGACGGCGGTCTGTAAATAATCGAGTCTGGACCAGACAATCCAGTGATCAACGGAATGAGCATCGATCTACGCATTTTGGATACGATGACGTGTGTCTTCACGGGTCGTGTTGCTAAGGAATAGACACCACCAATTGGAAACATGCTGTAAATGTAACCATCGTAACTGATTGTAGGATTCCGAAGAGATTTCCAAAACAGAAATCCACATGTCTCCAGGTTGCTGTCGAAATATTCTCTTCCAATGAGTGTTTTTGTACACATACCTAGTCTCATTATTAAACAACCAGCTTGAGCGAGTACAGAACCATTGAAATACATGTTAAAGTAGTGTCAATCTTGCAAAACTCTATTTACCCATTACCAACCATTTACGCGTGTACTAAATATACGACAAACCTAACCCTGGTCATACGAGATTTCAAAGGTATTGTAATGCATGTCCTACAATCACAGCATTTACATATGTTACACATGCTAGAAAACACACGAAAACAATGGCCAGATTTAGATAAGTGTGAAATACATGTAAATACAGAGTTGAATATTCGTTTATTTTAACACTCATTTAAACGTGTGTAAATCTGACAGCCAGATGATACGTAGATTTCAAACGTTGTTCATATGGCCGCCGAATGAAACGTATATATCATAACGTTAGTAAATATGGGTAATACAGTCATTTTGTGTGGCGAGTGTTGCGAGAGGGTGTTGTTGTTGACATATTCTCTAAATGACAGTGTTTTATGATTGGTCACCTTGATGTGATGGATGTTCAAACGTCGAGTTGTACAGGAAGGTAAAACAACAGTCGTGGTGCTTACAGACCACAGATAGCATCCAGCTTTGTACAACAATCAACAAACGGAGCAATGCCATGTTAGTCACCGTGAATAAGTTAGTTTAGTTTCACGCCGCGTTTAGCAATATTCCCGCAATATCTCGCTGGGAGACACCAGAAATGGGCTTCACACATTGTACCAATGTGGTGAATCGAACCCGGGTCTTTGGCGTGACGAGCGAACCCTTTAAACACTAGACTAACAAAACCGCCCCAAATACAGTCAGAACAATCAAAGCAGAAACATTAAGACAATATCATATTGGTTTATTTTAAAGGAAGTCTTTCAATCTATTATTAATAGTAATAAATATGACCCAAGAAACCAGTTTTGTCTCATGAGTATCTTGAACGTCGTTTGGAACTGTTAAAGGTGTCGCATGTGTCTTCAGATCCATGGGGACTTTACAGAAAACGCACATATCTTTTCCACTCGTTGTAGTGACATTCATTTAATCAGTCCTAAAAGTTAAAAACGTGATGACATCAGGTGCATTTGGGACTCTTTACCATTCTGTCATCAACAGAACATTAGATGTGGATCAAGAGAATAGCGAAGCAGTGGTTACAGTTGGATAAATTACATTGTAAAACAATCGATTTCATCTCACAAACATCAGCAGTTGACAGAGTACAAATATAATTCTTCATAAATATTGAACCAACTTATTGACAAATATTGAATCAACAATTCGTATTCCACCAAACAGCCTGAGAACCCAGTCAATCAAGTCGCTCCTTACGATGGTTGTATGACGCTGTATAGTCCCTCACAGCATAGGAGTAGACAACCTTGAAGGTACGGGTAGAGTGAGGCAGTTAAGACTTATAGCCACATCGGCAATATTTCAGCTATATCGTGACTTAAAAAAATATAAATTCATAGTAAACGAAAAAAAACCTGTCGACGAAGAACAATTAAATAACTAGATTATCACAGATCGATAATTAAAACTAGCATGTAACTGTAAAATTAAACACATTTTATGAACAATACAATAAATATAAACGGGCAAGCGATCACCAGCAACTGAAGGTAGGTCATCATACTAGGGACCATGGGGACTTACAGTACCTTTGCTAAGGTACGGATAGAATAATGGTGGTTATAAAGCTTGACATCATTTTCGTAGACAACCGTGAAGATACGGATAGGATTGATGGTTACAGTGGTTGTCGAAGAGGTGACAGACGCGACCGGAGGTAATGCTTGATGACATGTTTGATACAGGTCATCGTATCCCAGATGCGTTGATCGATGATCATGATGACACATCACTGGATTGTCGGATCCAGGCTTGAATATAATCTTCAGACCGCCATCATATAGCTCAAATATTGCGGCGTTAAAGGAACAAACAAACGCACAACTTTAGGAGAGAAAAGTCAGACCACATTCAAAACAGACTGTTGTTCACACACAAAGTTACACGGCTACATTCAGGTTATACTCCATGCCCTTTTAACATCAAACGAAGGTTATCGGGGCCTCGAGACAATGCCGAAACAATGTTTGGGAATGTATTGGGTTCCAACAATAACAATCTGAAAGAAAATATACAGTAATATATGAATATTATCCTGATATTGTTGGATCTTATACCACAATCTCACACAAGGGGTTCTTCAGTTTGTGACATCCAAAGGTACGTATGTCCCCAGGCGTAAGGAATCCACATCCATTGTACCCTCTGTAGAACTTATCGGGATGTTTGGCTTCTTCCTTGACATACGTTGAACCATCCGTCCAGGCGTAAGAGGTTTCATTCCACACCTCCAGACCAATCCATGACCCTGTGGGTGAAGGTGGAATAAGATGGGTTATGCGATGTACATGTACATACTTTGAGGACTGTGATCCGGAGAAGCTGTTAATACCTGTAACATTTACCCAACCCTTGAGCTCCTATTGTGCAAATTTTTGCAATTGTCGGCTTCAGTTGTGCACATTATCTTTCGAATTATCTGAGTGAGTTTGTAAATAATCGAGTCTTGACCAGACAATCCTGTAATCAACAACATGAGCATCGATACACGTGTCAACCAAATCAGCGAGCCTGACCCCCCTGATCCCGTTAGTCGCCTCTTACGACAAGCATGGGTTACCAAAGATCAATTCTAACCCGTATCTTCACGGGTCACAGGGCTGTAATAAAGCAAGTGATGTATTAATTTAGTCCAAACTTGAGCGTAGATATTGATTGCAAATCTTACGACAAGCATGAGATAGTGAAGATCAATATTCTAACCCGGACCTTCACAGGTTCGAATTATCTGAACTTGAAGGGTGAATTATTGCAGATGCTGACAGTGAATAGTCTTGATAACAGATCACTTTGTGGATGAGATATTGCCGATACGACTGCTTAGTCACTTGAATATAAGGCGTGAGATGTTTCACTCGACACTCCACACCAGGACGCACCCTGTGAAGCAGGACGTCGAGGAAGGTGGATCAGGATCGGATTATGTGTTGTCTGGTACAGACTCGATAATTAACACACCGCCGTCATAAATGTGTAATGTTGCTGATTAGAAAACAAACAAAAGGAATATACTCAAGTTAACTGTGTCGAAACTCGGATACCAAACAAACAAAGAACTGAAACACATTTCCTCATATACCGATCCAATACGCTACTAAGTAATGAATATTGCTTCGTGTGACACTAACATTCCAACTGTGTTACGAGGACATTATCAAAGAGTAGATTGATGCTCATGCTGTTGATCACTGGATTGTCTGGTCCAGACTCGATTATTTACAGACCGCTGTCATATAGCTGGAATATTGCTGAGTGCGGCGTTATACAACCAACCAACATCATCAAAGAAAGAATGACACAGATGTAACTCAGTGGTATTAGATTCACAATGACACACAATTTTAGAAGACTAGAATTCTTCATGAACTGAAATATCTTATTTGTTCGGTTCTAGTTATAAACCAAATCATGAACCATAACATTTTACTGAAACTGGATACGGTAATGTGTTATATAGCATGCCAAGTAGGAAATGTATTTCATCAACGAATAAAACCATTGTTACGTACAAAGCTTGGTATCTGAAACCACGTAGTCGTATTTGTCTTCTGTGTTGAGGATGATCAGGCGGCCACCCTCACTCTGACACAGTACTTGACCGTCTGTCCAGTTCATTGTGACGGCACCTGTTTTGTAACACAGGCGTGGAGACAGGACTGATGTGTACCCCTGAGACACGGGACATGGGTCTGGGGATGGTAGAGCTGCAACAAAGACAAAAGCTTCAATCAGATTGCACCAACAGTACGTTCATCAAATGACGGTAGAGCAGTACATTAAATACCAAGGGAGAGAAGTGCATTTGGCCTATGCTGGTAAGATTTGTACTAAAGGATCCAACTGATTTGAGGTTCCACTTTGGTACACATAGCATATTAGACGAGGGTGAGCGCAGAGTTCTTGTTGGCATGTAAGGAGAGAGGAGTTAGTGAAAATACACAGGTGCAAAACCATGAATGGACTGATAAGCAAGTGTAAGGAACTTTGGCTGCATGCAGTGCTACCCAATATTACAATAAACCACACAACTATCACGGTCTTCAGTACCACATTGGTCGATACTAATTTACATTCTTCATCTAAGATGGCTTCGCCGTCAGACAATATTTTTACTGTTTTTGATCGGCTGGATCAAAAATATTCAGGTGGTGATAACAAGTCATTAATCTATAACGCACTTCAAACAATCAAATACTCAATTGTCCTTTGAGGAATGTGACAAGTAGTAGATAACTCTTCTGAAGGAAAACTATATAATGTCTAATTAACGTCCTTGACTTGTTTTCTCATCAGAAGGGACACTGAATGGAGATAACTCCTTTGTCAATAAATATTTATATGTAGAACGAGGCCGATTCAACATCTTGGCCTTAAAACTTCAGCACCTAGATTTGTCTCAATCCAAGAAGTTTGTTTGCCAACTTGATTATTCTACCCTTTAGCATTAACTGTCACATGCACTCTCTGACACTGGGTTTTATGTAAGGTATGAGAAGTGGAGAGACAGATTGATCAAGAGGTGCTTGTGTTATTCACGGTGCCAACATGACCTGGTAACCAACGGAAGTCGATGTCGAAAGGCCCAGAAGAGACTTCAATCTACACTTGTAAAATATCGAGTATGAGTGGATGGTTTGGATCTATAAACGTTTGGAGACAGTAGAGAGAATCAGAAAATATGAATTATGATAGTTCTCCAAGCCTATATGGATTCGTTGGCTTCAGGTTTCCACGGATGACCAGAAGTCGGGAACGGTTGTTCCCACAGAAAGCATCCACACCATGCAACTTCCGCCCCCGAACCTGTCGACTTCGTGTACACAACATTGGGCATACCGTTCACGACGTCGTCTCCAGACTCTATGCCTGCCGTCCGCGAATCTGAGGGTAAACCTGGATTCATCGCTAAAGACGACTCGATTCCAGTCTCTCTGGGTCAATCGGAGGTGACGTTGGGCCCACAGCAGACGTTGACGTTGATGAAACGGCGTCAATATTATTTTGATATGGACGTCGAGAATGGAGATTGGCAGCCCGGAAAAGATTTCGAATGGTCTGGGAGGACAGTCGACCTCTAAACATCTCAGCCCTGGTTCGTGTAGCTAGCAGAAATCTGTCACGTAGGTGACGTAGGACGCTTTGACGGTTTTCTGCTCGTGACGTCACACGTGGACGACCAGAGCATGGGCGATCAGAAGTGGTGCCAGTTTGTTGTAGACGACCTCGCGAGTCATACACAGTACTCATGGCTGCATCCCATTGCTCTTGCGACGTCAATAACTGATCTTCCCGCTTGCAACATGCCAACGGCACGTTCACGTTGCACATTTGACAATCGTGGCATTTCAAGTACCGTTAGAACTGTGGTTTCAGAGTTTTTTCAGTTCTTGAGGCCAATGCAAACACGTGCATATGAAGAAAACTTCGATGCGAAGATCACGTGATCGACTGCACGTGCAAAACCTGATTTGGCACTAACGTCATTTGCACGACGAATGGATGGGTTTGATCGGGTTTTTGCTAACGTTTTTCTAGAGTCGACAGATAGGGATCCCATTTCGGATACATAGATGTATCATCAGAGAAAAATTATTCATTATTTTTCAAATTACATTTTGTGAAGTTTCTTTTTTGACTCAGTATATATAATGTATAATTAACGTCCTTGACCTGTTTTCTCATCAGAAGGGACACGGAATGGAGGTAACTCATTTATCAATAAATATTTATATGTAGAACGAGGCCGATTCAACATCTTGGCCTTAACACTTCAGCACCTAGATTTGTCTCAATCCAAGAAGTTTGTTTGCCAACTTGATTGTTCTACCCTTTAGCATTAACTGTCACATGCACTCTCTGACACTGGGTTTTATGTAAGGTATGAGAAGTGGAGAGACAGATTGATCAAGAGGTGCTTGTGTTATTCACGGTGCCAACATGACCTGGTAACCAACGGAAGTCGATGTCGAAAGGCCCAGAAGAGACTTCAATCTACACTTGTAAAATATCGAGTATGAGTGGATGGTTTGGATCTATAAACGTTTGGAGACAGTAGAGAGAATCAGAAAATATGAATTATGATAGTTCTCCAAGCCTATATGGATTCGTTGGCTTCAGCATTGAAAACATCGGGTATCCTTGAAGATGTAATATTAGATCCGGCCACAGTGGCACTTGATACCTTGCCAACATCCTTTGATCTATCTGTAGACATTGCAACTCGAGTGCCCTTACAACTGTAAATATTCCTATTGATAGGATGCCAAGGAGCAGTAGGGAGACGTTGGTGTGGATATACTATATCTAAATCGATATTATGATGGTTGATCCAAATCCCAAGTGGTGGTACAAGTGCCTCGTAAAGAGGCTGAAAGACAGAATAATAGGCTGGGTTGAATGGCTTTAAACGTAATTTAGTTGTTTTCTGCATGGATTACTTTATAGGGCGTTGTTTGAGGTAAGGCGCATCTGTCATATGTGGACCAGATAACATATCTGTATATATCCATAAGGGTTGATTGATCCCCTCCCTACTTGGAATTGGCTTCAACATTAAGTAATATTATGAGCATTTAAGCACTTTAAATATAGAACTTTTATAAGATAAATATTTAAAATGGTTATAACAAAAAAGGCCCCAAAACTTGATTCCTTTTAATAACCTGACTGTGATTTAAATATAGAAATTTCATTAGGTAAATATGTAAAATGGTCATAATAAATAAGACCTCAAAACTTGGTTCCTTTCGCTAACTTGATAGGGATTTAAATATCGAACTTTTACTAGATAAATATGTGAAATAGTAATAACAAGTAAGACCTCAAAACTTGGGTTCCTTCTACCAACTTGATAGGGATATCGGCTAAACGTAATTCTGTGTTTTGTGAGGTTGATGGTAAATCAGTATTGGATAAGATTGAGTCCCCTATCAGCACCAGCTCATGTAAAACTTTTAAATATCATGCTTCCGTGTGGTATCGAACATGATAGATAAAAAATGATTTGTTTCTATTAGAATCAATTACAAGTGATTCCAAATGACCCAAATAGTCAGTTGTATTGCGGGTGTTACGGAAACTGCATTGAATATCACATATCACATTCTTGGTTGATCAAAATCTAACTGATCGATTAAATTGACTGTTAGCACTACAGTTTTAACATTACAGCCATTACAGATTATTTTTATTGATCTGAAGTATCCCCGTCGGGCTTGAAGGCTTGAAGGCTTGCCCTGTTGTCCCAATATCGTAAAAATCAATCAGTAGAGTTTGTGACAAGATTTCCTCAAGTGTCTGGAAATGGATACGATAGGTTCCTGTTGCTGTATTAGCTCGTGCTAAGACAGAATGTAGCACAGGTCGTGAAATCCAACACATGATAATCTTCGCCATTGTTAGACCTACAGCTTTGTTTCCTTTTCTCTTATACTTCTGAGGCAACCGTGAAGAGCCACCTCCTCGTGGTGGGTGCTGGGTAACGTTAAGCGCTCTTCAACCCCCGTTGTGGACCCGTGGGTATATTTGGTCCACCAACCCGTTTGCCGTGGGTTGCGCCCTGTGTCGGTGGAGGAAGGGATTCTGGTGGTTGAGGGCACTGGCTCCAGGAACAGCGTTCCTTTGCCCAACACACCACTTCGCCCCTTACTTCACCTAGACGGGTGGTAGAACTTGCCCGGTTCTATCAATCGGCTGGTCACGCCAAGCCCTGTGCTACAACTATATAATGTTGCACAAAATTTGAAAATAATTAGATGATATTTTTAAGTCTTGGCAAATGTTTGAACTGAGAATTTCATGTATGTTTTTGCCTAGAGTCGTAAAACTAGTTCAAAGCTCAGAGCATAAAAGAGCTATGCTTCTATCACCAGAACACCGTCAGAAGCGACAACTAGAATAACAAAACCATCTGCATGCTGTGAGACAAGCCTTGACCTGTGTTAAATCTGAATCTCCTCTGATATTCTCACCTGCAATATCTACACAAACTGCAAAACCACTTCCTGGTACGCCCTAAATCCAATCTGAACCATCGTATGACCATGACACATCTTCTCAGTCAACTCAAAGTCTCAATCAACGTCAAACGTTCAATAAATCGTTAAAACAAAAGCAAACCGAAGCCAGATTCTTTGAAGAAACAAAGTGGCAGAGCCCCAAAAGGGTCAGGTGATTAAACCAAATTATCTAACAAATACGGATCACTTGAGGACATGGACGTGTCCGAAAACGTCCATTCTAGGGTACATAGCTTGTCGCCCTCGAAAACGGTGCGGGGTAGATGCCGAATTAATCCGCCTAAAAGATAGGTCTATCTGCCAATATCGTGCAGTGGAACTGTAGAACAATTTTAATGAAATACAGCTATTAATCCAGGATTTAACACCATCAGCGTTCTGTCTGCAAGAGACGTATCTGAAACAGACAGATAATTTTAACTTACGTCAGTTTGAAGCCTATAATAATTTTTTTCCCTCCAGGTGATAGAGCCACTGGAGGTTCTACTATCATTATACGACAGGATGTTATTCACAGCCCTGTTACACTTAACACTAATCTCCAAGTTGTTACAGTGCGACTTACTCTGGGTGTAGCATTTACGTTATGCTCTCTGTATATTTCGCCTTCATCGAACCTTCAGGTGACTGATCTTCAGTCACTCTATGATCAACTCCCAAAGCCATGTGTTCTTATGGGTGACCTA